GGTAATATTTGATTTGAGCATAGTTTGAGATATATTACAGATCTGCAATAGCTTCCATCCACAGACTGACCCACTCTAATGCGGCTTAACTCATGAGGTATAGGAAGAACACAGGACACGACACGACAGTACAGCTGCAGACAGACCATTGTCCTAAAACCATATTAGCACCTGTGTAGCCAATTCATATATAACTGCAGTTCACAGTGTCACATGTTAAAGGCCAGTACTCCATATTTGGGCCTTTGCAGGTGAACTTAATGACTATAGACTCAATTCTACATTCACCCTGGGAAAGTGTGATCCTTTTAATAAAGGGATGGGGTGGGGGTCCAATAATGGAGGAAGTTGGTGTGTGCATCTGTGCATCTTAGTATTATGGTAGTGCTCAAAGGCCCCTCTTTAAATTAAGTGCTGTACAAACACAGACAACAGGAAAACGTCAACTACTTTGGACAAATTCTGTAGTTTCAGGAATTACACCCCCAACAAAAGGGAACACCTTGGAGAAAGAGATGAAATTACATTAGGAATAAACTGGGGAAAGTTTTCATAAATGAGAAATTAACTGATTTGCCAATGGTCTCAGAAGTATGTTCATAGTAAACTTAGACTGGTGCTGTGGATGATAAAAAGAATGGTAGTGAACCTGAAAGTGTGTACCTATTGTTGAATTTTAATATTGATTTTAACTGACTTCTTGCCTTGAAAGCATCAGAGACAGATTAAAGTGGTTTCTTAGTGTTTCCTACTAGGAGAATATGAAAATAATAGTAACATGAAACTATCCCTACATTAAGATGTAACCTTTTGCTTCATGTTTACCCTTTTAGTGATGAGCTGTGCCAAGGGGGACCACAGATCACTAGGGCAGTGAACATAAAGCAGAATTAGCTGGTCTTATGCCTTCTGATCACACTTTTGTCCAGGCTGTCCTTTGCTATTGTCCCTTCCACAGCAAATGCCTACTGTTCCATTGTAATCATGATACTGATGATTAGTGTGGCTGAAGCAAGGTGCATCCTGCAACCTCCCTTACCCAGAAATGTCGAGCGTCATACCCATGCATTGCTTCCCACCCCAGCTGACACTTGGATTGCTCCCTGTCCCTTGGTAGAATGTTATGAGTCTTTTCAAGTGTAAATGTTCAAAAAATGGACATAAAGAGCTGGTGCTCTGTGTTGTGTAAGAGTGCTGGTCTTAGGATGTATAGAGGGCTAAAGTAACAAAGTAACCTTAGAGCACAGATGAAGGGAATAGTAGTAGGTGGGCCTGAGCCACAAAGTTTGGATCTGGAGCTGAATTTCCCTAAGGTCTGCATTGTTTTGATCCAAGCCAGTTAAAGCAATGGGACCAGGAGAAAACTTTGTCCCTGGATTCAGTTCTGAATGTCCTCAAAGTGCTTATAAAATGCCTCTGCCCACCCTGTACTCACACTGATGCTCTCCTGTCTTGCATGTCTTTCCTGAGAAAGGGGGATTAACCCAGTCTGGGTGGAGGAAAGTATTATTTTGCTGCCATCTTCTGGACTGTCTATGTAACGACACCCAATCTCCCAATCTTTAAGCTTTCACTATTATCAAACTTAAAAGCTGAACTCCTAAGCTTTAAATATACAAATAAAAAGTACATTTAAGATACCAAATCAGTAACAAAATACCAGCCTGGACTTATATCACAGGACATATAAGCCCCCATCACAGTCTCCTGTCCCTGCAGAGGAGGCCTGTGTGAGATTCCTGACTTAACTGCACCAGGAACAGAGAAACCCAGCAATGACAGAATGTAGCTGGCTTTATTAGGGAAATGCATCTACTTGGGAGGAAACTGAGCTAAGGGAAATTAACTACTCCATTGGGCTAAGCAATTAGGTATGTAAGTTGAAAACGATTTGAGAACTGTGTTCTTCCATGGAGCTCTGATACCAAGAACTGATATCCAGTGAGCATAAAAAGATGTAATTAAAATAATTGTTTGCTAAATTATAACCAATGAGGACCTTTTATCATGAGCGTAGGCCTGGCTTGACATGATTAATTGGACAAACCACATCCTGCCCGCGGGACCCTAGAACAAGCCTTAAGGATACATATTTTCAGATGATTTGAGTATGAAGAGAAGTTTGACATGATTACTACTTTAATGCAGAAACAACAAATTTAATCGTAGCTCTAGCAAGCAGAGCTGATTAATTTTCCTTTCACTAGAGACACACCATAATAGCCCAGAACTGATTTACTAATTTCTACTCACCTGATTTGACAATGAAGAGCTTTATTTTTTGTAGTAATACAAACTCTCACAAGCACTTTTTAAAGAATTACTGCCACTCTGTTTACATGTACCAGTATAACACCTTAAATGTATCAATATGTAAAATAGTAGCTCAAATTTAGGAGAGTGGTTTTATATTTAAAAAACAAAAAACAAAGGAAAAGGGAAAGAAATAATGGAAGAACCTAAATATTTCCCAGCATAAGACCCATAATATAGGCCTTGATTCATCAAAGCACTTAAACCTATGCATACGACATCACTGTAAGTAACTCTGCTGAACAGAGAGACTGAAACACATGGCAAGTGCTTTTTTGGATGAGGGTCATGATGAGCAGAGCAGTATTTCAATGATTTTTTTTTTTTTTAAATGACAGGCATAGTCATTGAATCAGATTGAAAAACTTCCTATGTTTGGGTATTTTTGAAAATATAAAAAGTTAACAGAGTCATGGAAAGGTGAGATAAGTAAAAAAGATAAAGTGATGCTGATTAGCTGGACGGTTCAATTCTTTGTCAAATAGCTGAGGAAAGTATAAGATCCTTTCCTGAGGAGTCTGAAGTCTCTGTTTGCCTCACAGCGGCAGCAGGTGCTGTATACATCTGCGTATAAACAATAAAAATGTGCCAGAAGTGTTTGATTCAAAACAGCTGCATTATGATAAAGAGCAACAACATTTGTTCAAAATCTTTTATTTACTATAAAGACAAAAACACCAAAATAGGTACAAATTATACTATAAAATTGGTTCAACGGGGTAAAAACTTTTAATTAAAATATCTTGATATATTTAAAATAACAAAGGATACAACGAAGCCAAATTTTCTTAACCCAGAGATTTCTGTAAAATTTGCTTGCACAGTAAGGTGCTAATAGAAGTTAGCCCTTAAGCCCTGGAAGTCTTAGGAATCAGTCACATAGCAAATATAATTTCATTGTGAAAGTGAACTTTGGTAGAAGAAAATCTATAGGACACCTGAGGTAGTAGAAATTGGAATAAACAGCAGTAGACGTTATTTACAACTTACGTACCAAATAACATTAAGAACACAAAAATAATTACACAATACAATTTTCAGTCCAGCTTTGATCCAAAGAAAATAAGAATATTACATCACATCTGCATTTTAAAAACACCACAATTACCAGCAAGCCGAGGGAAATGCAAACAAACTCAAACAATATGCATTTGGACATCTAGAGGCAGTCTGAGTTTGAAATGTGGTAGGCATGGTGATCTACAAAGTAATACTGATTAGCTGAGGTTCATCAGTGTATACAGTTTACATTTCTGCCAGAAAAAGTACTAATCTGACAACTGATCTTCCAGTACATGAATTGGCAAGAGTGCATTCTTTAAAGCTTGCACATAAGAAAGACTTGGAAATAAGAATTCTAAGCGGTTAAAAAAAAAATGAAAGAAAAAGTCAAGTACAATACAGTTAGAGCTACCAAACTTCACATTTCGGTATTTTTTTTTTTAACTCTTCAAAGTTTGCCAATTTTCCAAAACAAAGGAATGTAAAATTTCAAAAAGAAATACACATTCATGTCTAATGAAACTGTTTTATTAGCATGAGCACTATCATTCCTGTAAACTTATCTTAAACTTGTTTTACTTCCAATTTATGTTTTGTGTACATTTTTAATGTACTATAGCTTATTTAGTTTGTCCTGAGTCTTTGAAAATAACCAATTCGATTTCAGTCCAGCAATTCAACTGGCTTCTGAAGAGTTAAAACTTGAACAGTTATTTAAAAAAAAAAAGGATTAAACACAATCAGTACTTGATTTAAAAAGACCCCCCCCATTAAAAAGCAAAAGAACAGCTGCCATTCTCCTTCAGAATTACATGCATCAGAATCTAAAAACCTGCCTTTAAAACCATTAAGAGACCGTTTTAAAAAAAGAAAACGCCTGTTTAAAAAACTCAAAGTTTTGTACTACAGGTGAAGCTTTACATCAAATTTTGTCTTAACTTGCTTTTCAAGTCCAAGTTCATTTCTTGTTAAAATCAAGACTTTTTATTAGGGTAAGGTCATATTTTTAACAGATTTTCAAATTACATCATCAGTTGCTACTGTAAATAGATGATGTATAGCAGAAGGAAAACAGCAGGTAAAACTTAATATCAGTGGTGAACATGAATACAGTTTTGTTACACAGTAAGGCTACGTCTTCACTACCCGCCTGAATCGGCGGGTAGAAATCGATCTCTCGGGGATCGAATTATCGCGTCTCGTTGGGACACGACAATCGATCCCCGAATCGACGCTTGTACTCCACCAGCGCAGGTAGAAGTAAGTGCCGTCGACGGTGGAGCCGAGGAGGTCGATTTGCCGCCGTCCTCACAGCGGGGTAAGTTGGCTTGGATACATTGAATTCAGCTACGCTATTCGCGTAGCTGAATTTGCATATCTTAAATTGACCCCCCTGCCCCCGTAGTGAGGACGTAGCCTGAGAGACTTGAATCCAGACCCTGGTCCTACTCCCACTTAAGTCGAAGGCAAAAACTCCCACAGACTTTAATGGGAGCTATGGGCAGGGCTCTTGACATGAAACTTGTCTACACGGTTTACCAAAAGAAATTGTTACACGAAAATAGGCTCAAAAACTAACATTTAACATGATCTGGGGTTACAAGTTGTTTTTATGCACAGAAATCTTCCTTTTTTAAAAAAAATACCTGCACTATGAGAGCCTGAAACTATCAGTTTTTTCCCCCCCAGATTTCAAATAAACCTGTATTCTTCAATCAGCAAGATATTCAGTGACATCTAGTTTGCACCTAGTTCTGAAGATTGTTTGTTTTAAAGATCACCTTTCCCTGAATGTAAAATAAAATGAAAGTATAGAACCATAACTTCAAAAAGGAAATTACAGGGCCAGCAGTAAATGCACAGTGAATCACAGCTGCCTTGTCACATTTTTAATGAAGGCAGAATATGGTTTTAAAAGTATTCATCCATGTTTGTATTTATTACTCCACTAAGAGAACATACTTTGTGAAATAAAAGGAACATATACAGAATTTCCTTTTTAGCCAGTGATGAAAAACTGAATGGAATTGCAGAACCCTCTGCTTATGACCACAATGTGAAATGGAACAGTGATTGCAACATTAAAATAGATCCTGAGCCCCTCAGCTGCTAATATTGCTGAAAAAGTGCTCCAAAAGAAAATAAATCACTTATCTGCTAAACAATCATGCAGATTTAAAGAAAAATGTTTTCTTGTTCACCTTGAGCCAGATCTTTGAAAAGGCACAGTTCACATATTTCTTCACAAGTTGTGAAAGGTTGCATACTGAGCTTAGGTAAAGATCTCGATTTGTCAATCACATACTTAGGTAAGGATCCTCCACTGGCCTTAAATCCTTGATGTATAATTAAGACCAGTAGAATAATACATGCTGTGGTGCTAAACTGCACTGCGAGATGGGCATTGTTCTATATTCAGTAGCATCTTCAGTAAATCATAATTTTTACATAATTAGCTACCATGTAGTACGGAAGACTGGGTGTTTCAGCAGTTCCCGTGATGGGGGTCTGTCCTGAGGTTGAAGTTCTAAACACCGAAGGGTCACGTCTCTTAAACCAGGAGACAGATGTGAGGGGATTGACGGAGCAGTAGTTGCGCTAGCAATCTACAGACAGAAATAAAAATGTTTTTAGAAGTTAGTTATCAACAGTTTTGATTTTTTTGACTCCATTTACTCCACTAGATGCTGGATGACTGGATAACTCATTTCCAAAACCAGTTTCTCTACAGATTACGCAAGTGATTACATTATAGAAAATAATGCTTTGGCCCTGACCTCACTTTGGGACTTTCCTGACCTCAGTTAGCTGTGATGTCTGCTTTCCCAATATTCATGCCCTCTGCTGCTACTCTTAGTCTCAGTTCTCTCCTTGCATCCTCTTATAATTCTGTTTCTAGGACAAGACTCTCTCATACCCATCAGCTCAAAGAACTGGGAAATTCTCCTGCCATGCTTATACCGTATAAGCATTATTCTGGCACACCACTCATCTGTGTTTAACTGGCATAATGCAAGGAAGCCTATGGAACTGGTGAGGGTTGGGTATCTGTAGTATACCCTCCCCCACAGTGCCTTGCCAGTGCATTTCAACCATAACTTTGAAGCAGAACCACTAAGTCTGAAGTGTAGTTCACTCTGTTGATTCAATCCATAGCCTCTCTATATGAATGCCAATTAGGGTTAACTAGGATGATGGTTGTGGTGATGTAGACCCATAGCTATCATTAACTAGACTGAGACCACCAACCAATTCATGTATGCCCTTGAACAACAGAGGTAATATTTGATTCTAATCAAACCCTGGTAAATTGTAATCTGTGCATGTTTACTGTTGTACTGGCTCGTATTTTATTCTTTCATTTATGCATGCTATTCAACTAGATTATTTCTATTAAGATTTTTAGAGGTTTTTTTGAAAATTGAATAAGAATTCTGATTAACAAAAAAACGTGGTCTAGAGAAAAGGGTTAATATCCTTTATCAATGCTCTGAGATTGCCAGTCCATCAAGAGGATGCCTATTTTATTCTAGTCCTCTGGGGCTGGAGCCCTGAATGCTAAATATCAATTTTTAGTTAAGGATATTCTTCCCCAAGTTATAAAATATTAATGTACCCAATTTTATAATTTGTACTACAGTGATATAACAAACAGGAAAATAGGAAACAAAGATGTATGTCAGTGACATCACACATCACTCCTGCTTTGCTCCCCTAACTTATGGGTGTATTCATATCTTAGTATAGTGCTCCTCTCTAGAGGCTATTCTTGGGGGTGAATAGTTTTTCAAAAAAAACCCCAGAGGAAATAATTTGTAGCTAGAATGTAACAGATTTACATTAGTGTAGTATTTGTAATAAAAAGCCTTATATAAAAAGGAAGCATTGTAATTATTATTATTCACCGTGTAACTTATTTCTTCCTAAAATCGACACTGTTGTACATGAAATCAAGCACTGAAGTGCCAACATTTGCTTAACTTATTTATAATACAACAAGGTATCTCACCTTAAATATCAAAGCAAGGTGATTGGAGTGCTTCTCAGCATTCCAAGGTGGTTTAGCACAAGCCATTTCTATAATAGCACAGCCAACGCTCCATACATCACAGCTCCTACCATATTGCTGGCCCCGCAGTACCTACAAAAGAAAGATACATCAGGGCTTAAGCTAATTAATTCCATGCCACTAACACTACACATGCATTATTCTATACACACAGAAGCCAAATCAAGTGCATTTTCATTATAATTTTGGGTTAAGTGAGTTAACAAGGGTGTAAATATTGACAAGTTTTATCTCTGTGTGAAGTACAATAACAACAATTAAAGGGCCTGGCCAAACAAAAAATTAGTGTCCTGTAATTAAGAATGCTCAGTGGCTATTTGCACGAAGGAACAATATGTCAAGATGTGGTCCATCTCAGAGTAACTGGAACAACCATCTGGTAAGGGAAAACACCAAGATAGCAACAAAACATGATATATTTACATAATTCCAATTTTTATGACAATGAAGTTATATGAAGCTCTGCTTCACTTATGGATACGGTTTCAAAGAGTTTTCTGTTACCATCTGGCTGAATTAATTATTTGCACAAAGCTCTACCACACATCCCGCCCCCCCCAAAATTTTTTCAAAGTGGCTTCTTACCTCTGGTGCCATAAATGCAATAGTTCCCAACAACTGTCCCTGAAACTCTCCAGCACCAGTTCCCTTTGACGCCAACCTGGCTGCAGCTCCAAAATCAGCAATTCTTAATCTATGACCTGTGCTGTCAATTAGCAAATTGGCACCTGTCAACAGCATAACAAAAACACTGCTAGTTGGCTCTCAGTCAAAATCACGATGAGATGCTTATCTGTATTAAAAAAGTACTAAGGGTCTGACAAACACATGAAAGCAAGGAGATGAGGAGCTAAGAACAGAATACTGCCCAGAACTGTCTAATAGTGGTTGATCTGTCTCCATTATGCTTAGATAACATTACACAGTGGCCTGAGAATATGTGAGATAAAAGATTTTGAGAAGCAGCATGAAACCTCAGAAGTGGGGCAAATGTAAGAGTAGGAAGCAGAGTACAGCCCTGGAAGATGGTGGTGACTAGAACTTAGTGAAGGCCTTATACAGCTACAGTAACTCCTCACTTAACATTGTAGTTATGTTCCTGAAAAATGCTACTTTATGCTAAATGATGTTAAGTGAATTCAATTTCCCAATAAGAATTAATGTAAATAGGGGGGGCTAGGTTCCAGGGAATTTTTTTTCACCAGACAAAAGACATTATATACATATACAATATAAGTTTTAAACAAACAGTTTAATATTGTACACAGCAATGAATGACTGTGAAGCTTGGTTGAGGTGGTGGAGTAAGAGGGTGGAATATTTCCCAGGGAGTGCCTTGCTACTAAATGATGAACTAGCACTTGGCTGAGCCCTCAAGGGTTAATACGCTGTTGTTAATGTAGCCTCACACTCTACAAGGCAGCATGGACTGAGGCAGGAGGGAGCAAACACAATAGGTGCAGGGCAGTAGCTGCAAACACTTCCCTGCAAAAACTGAACATGATGATGATGATCCCACGCTATCCAGCTGGAGCGTACCACTCCCTCCTCCTGACAGCACATGCATGGCTGCACAGGTGCTGACTCTCCAAAGTGCTGGGAGATGCATGCATGAGTGAGAGAGAGAGAGAGAGAGAGAGAGATGTGCATTGCCCCTTTAAGCAGATCAGACAGGAAGCAACAGCTTCCAGCAAGTTCCCTCCTTTTTGTCCCTCTCCTCCCCTTTGTAGAGACGGGGTACAGAACGGGGGTGGGGTGCAGGAGCAGGGGGACATCCTGATATCAGCACCTCTCTCCCCCACCCTCCCACAGCAAGCAGGAAGCTCTGGGGAGCAACTCCAAGGTAGAGGGCAGGGCAGGAGCAGCACAGCAGTAGGGGGCAGCTGCCGAGCCACATACCTTACAGGGAATTTAGGGGAGCTGATGGGGGTCTGCCAGCCCCCCAGTTCTAATCCCCACAAGGAGGGGCTGCTCTTCCAGAGATTCCTGCAAACAGTGGACAAAGCAGGCAGCTGCCAAAGGACGTTATAAGGGAGCATTGTGCAACTTTAAACGAGCTTGTTCCCTAATAGATCAGCAGTGTAACAACGAAACAACGTTAAGCGGGACAACGTTAAGTGAGGAGTTACTATACTTATATAAGATCTCCTATAAACCTTACATCCTTTTATCTGAATGTAAGTGGCTCACATCCACTTGAAAATAATTCCAGAAAGAGGGGGCCAAAGAAAGCATTCCCTTGAAATTTGTTCTCATATCTTAAGTGTGAATATAAACTGCCATAAGTAAGCCTGAAATCAGAGACCGGGGTGTTCCTACTGGATCTTTACTGTACAGTTGTATCAACATTAGTTGTAAGCAAAATTCCATAGGTTTGGCGGTTTTCCTTATCATAAGGACCAAAAATTTAGATATTCGTCTGAATCCCTTACATCTACAAATTTAAGCGGAGACCAAGAGCTCAAATACGAAGATGCCCCGGGGCCAAATAAATATCTAGAAAACAAACTGGTGACCAATAATGAAAAATGGACAAAAGCTATCTGAACATTTCTGAACCTTCAAAAAGATTTGAGTTTGGTTTGATCTGCTTATGTTAGCTGAACCAATTTGCTCATCCCTAAATCAACCTTTTGCATCAGCAACTGTCTCCAATGTGTAAGGAGGTAAATGTCTCTAAGCACTATATGAATGTTTGGATGCAGTTTAGTAGCTTCAAGGTTCCTAAATACAACTAGGCAAATCAAGCATAGATCTCATCTCCAATAAGAGTGAGACACAGATAATAACTGCCCTCAAACAAAGCAGCTGTCTGAATTCTAATAATTAGACAACACAATCAAGAGTTCTTACCTTTGACATCCCTGTGGATAATCTGATTCTCATGGAGGTAAGAAAGGCCACGCAGCAGTTGTTCTGTGTAGTTAATAACAACTGATTCTTTGAAGGCTCCATATTTACTTAACAAATGAGCAACTGATCCCCCTGGAAGATAAATTGTTTATATTTTTTATCCAATATTTAGACTCATGATTAGCAGTAGGTAGCTTTGGCTGCCATAATTGGACTAATTTTTCCTATGATTTTATTGGACACTAGTGACTCAATTTTTCAAAAAGGTGTGCTGCACTGTATAAGCAAAGAAATCTACCATGAGCACAGCTGTGTAGTTTCCAACTGCAACTCAGCACACGTTTTAAAACTATTTGCCTTAAATATCCCTTTAAAAAGAAAAACTGAAAAAAGCCTTATAAAAGTTAGTGAGTTCTGTTGCTGATGGAAAGTAACCTACAGATATTAATTCAATTTACTGTACTAAGTTTCTCAAGAAGAGCAACAGTTTTAAAATATTGTTATTGTAAATGGCGATGTTAGAACATAAACAAGCCTCCTATTTAGTGTTCCTCAGTGGACCTTAATTTTCTCTTTTTCTTACCATTTATAGATCTGTATTTAAATATTTAATATGCAACAATTACATTTTTTTAATTTAACAGGAAAAACGCAAAAAAGCAATTTTTTCTCATTTTTGTTTTCTAAAGACAATATTTGCATGTCTCGTGTTCCTCTATCTACTCTTGATAACAACTACTCCTGGGGAAATTCTGTGCCACTGTGCATGTGCAGAATTCATGTGTCCCGCAGAATTTTATTTTTTTCTGCAGAAAATAGTCTGCCCCAGAAGTGTTGCAGTTCTACCTTTGGCCCACCAGAGGCCACTGTGGTGCCAGAACAGACAACAGCATGAATGCAGCAGGCTGTTCTGGTGCCACAACGGCCTGTGGTGGTCAAGAGGTAGAACTGCAGCACTTCTGGGGCAGAATGTATTTTCTGTGGGGAAAAATTCTCTGTGTGCGCAGTGGCAAAGAATTCCCCCCTTTCCCCCCCTTCTCGCCCCTCCCAAAAAATACTTGTTCCGTATTTCCCCCACCCACATCCTAAAAACTTCCAGGTTCACTCGAGGCTCCTTCCCTCTCCCTCAGCTCCTCCATTATCCCTGACACCCCCAAGCCTTTGCATTGCTTCTGATGGGTGCAGGAAATACAGTTGTGTATTGTAATTTAAATGAATTATTCAAAGTTCTGTATTAATATGCCTAATCCATTTGTCAAAAAAATTACCAGAATCTTTTTTTTTGGTCTGTATTGTTACAGATACACTTGCTGATAGATATTTTGAAATAAATTACCAAAATAATTTAAACTGGCATGATTATATTGTGTTATTTTAACAAAAAATATGCAGAATTTTAAAATATTGTGCGCAGAATTTTTAGGTGCAAAATTCCCCCAGGAGTATAATATTACCTGGACATCAGTAAAATGCGAGGACCATTCCTGACATTATCTATACCATAAAATCAAACTTTTTAGACTTGAGAGCTCTTCTTTTCTTGCATTTTTTTCCACTCTGCTGGTGTTTCAGGCAAGTGTTTTCTGCACCATTACATTCAATGATACCCACTTAAGGTTTGCATGTTAGATGGCTGATAATACTGAGTAGTCTACCAGGATACAGAATTGTTGGAGAAGATACAATGCTCTCTTTCATGGTCTCCTTATTTGTCATTAAAGATACCACTCCATAAGTGTTTGGATTTTGAATAACTACAAGACACGTTTCTACTGAACTGTACTGGTAAACCCCTATTTTAGAAAACTCACTTTAACCTAAACTGTCTTTGGGGACCTCTCCAGCCTGGTAGTGGGTTACTGTATTTTTCCTGATTGAAACATAGTTTTATAAAAATGTTGAGCATCCCAAGCAGCTCTAGCAAAGATTTTTTTAAAAAATAATTTGCTCTGAATTTGATACTACGCGGTAGAGAATAAAATATTTTAAAACTAAGGTCTGAATCCCCGGAGCACATAACTTCTCCCCAGTTTGAGCAGCTGAATAACAGATCTTTCCTTGATATAGCCACCTCATGATTTTTTGAGATGTGATGTGCAGTGTTTAAGGTTTAATATACCTTTTGTTGCATGCAATTTCCCAGTCTAATTTTTTTTTTGGAGGGTGGGGAGAGGGAGGAGAGAGTACATGGAGATTAAAAAAAGAAAATCTGAAACTATTCAGCCCACAGAACTTATAAGTCTCTTGAACTAACAACTGTGCTCTTAAACTGTGCACATGTGCTTGGCACATGTGCTGAAGTGCTCACCTATGAGCATCAAGAGAGTTTCTATTGCACATTCTTAGTATGACATTTTCAAATGTATATTTATTAAATCAGTGGTTCTCAAACTGTGAGTCAGGGCCCCAAAGTGGGTCACGACCCCATTTTAATGCGGTTGCCAGGGCTGGCGTTAGATTGCTGGGACACAGGGCTGAAGCCCAAGGGCTTCAGCTTTGGCCTCCCTACCCCGGGCAGGGGGGCTCAGACTCCCCCCCCACTCCTGGTCGGCAGGGCTCGGGTGAGCTCAGGCTTCGGTCCCCTCTCCTGGGGTCATGTAGTAAAATTTGTTGTTAGAAGAGGGTCACAGTGAAGTTTGAGAACCACTGTATTAAATCAAACCCACTCTTTCCCCTAAAACGAAAACAGAATAGTTGTGTCTCAGTAAGGACTACGTCACTACTAACTTACAAACTTCATCTGCTTTAGCCCCATTCATAAAGTGTGGGTAGAATTTTTTCACAGCAAGAAATCCCTCCCCACCTACACATGCACTCCTGTAATTCAGGAACAGGTGAAAGGATTTTTGCTCAAAGTTCCCAAATAAAATTCACCTTAAACATGGAAAAGTTCAGGTAAAAAAAAAGTGAGTATTTTGGAAAGATACCAGTACGATCACTTGAAGACACAAGAGTTATACAGTTTTGCAACCTAAAATACTGCTGGCTACTGGTGCCTACAACTATACTAATAAATGTGCAAAGTGCAGTCATTCATTAAAATATATGAGTGTGGAAAGACACAAATCGTAACACTCATTTAACACAGTGAAAACCCTGGAAAATGGAGAATTACTTTCTTCCTAGAAGAGGAACAGATGTGCATTTGCTTTTTATTCCAGAAGTTTGGTTACCCTTTTGCTATGTACAGAATGCTGTTTACCTGCCATCCATTCTATAAAGAGATTATAGTTGCTCTTCTCACATGTAGCACCCAACATTCGAATGATATTAGGATGGTTCAGATGATTCATCATCCTTATCTCTTCTCTCAGTGCTTCGACTACCTCTTCCTGTTCAGATGATGTGTTCCTGACATACGTCACCTATTTCACAAAAACATTTAAATTTTACCTTAGATAATAGTTTTGAATTTAATGTCATAGTTTCATAGAATCATAGAAGATTAGGGTTGGAAGAGACCTCAGGAGATCATCTATAGTCCAACCCCCTCCTCAAAGAAAGACCAACCCCAGGTAAATCATCCCAGCCAGGCCTTTGTCAAGCCGGCCTTAAAAACGTCTAAGGACGGAGATTCCACCACCTCCCTAGGTAACCCATTCCAGTGCTTCACCACCGTCCTAGTGAAATAATTTTTCCTAATATCCAACCTAGACCTCCCCACTACAGCTGAGCTCCATCCTCTTTGGAACCCCCCTTCAGGTAGCTGAAGGTTGCTATCAAATCCCTCCTCTCTTCTCTTCTGCAGACTAAAGGCCAATTCCCTCAGCCGCTCCCCATAAGTCATGTGCCTCGGCCCCCTAATCATTTTCGTTGCCCTCCGCTGGACTCTCTCCAATTTGTCCACATCCTTTCTGTAGTGGGGGGCCCAAAACTGTATGCAATACTCCAGATGTGGCCTCACCAGTGCCAAATAGTGGGGAATAATCACTTCCCTCGATCTGCTGGCAATGCTCCTACTAATGCAGCCCAATATGTGTTAACCTTCTTGGCAACAAGGGCACACTGTTGACTCATATCCAGCTTCTTGTCCACTGTAATCCCCAGGTCCTTTTCTGCAGAACTGACGCTTAGCTAGTTGGTCCCCAACCTGTAGCAGTGCATGGGATTCTTCTGTCCTCAGTGCAGGACTGTGTATTTGTCATAAGAACATAAGAACAGCCGTACTGGGTCAGACCAAAGGTCCATCTAGCCCAGTATCCTGTCTACCGACAGTGGCCAATGCCAGGTGCCCCAGAGGGAGTGAACCTAACAGGCAATGATCAAGTGATCTCTCTCCTGCCATCCATCTCCACCCTCTGACAAACAGAGTCTAGGGACACCATTCCTTACCCATCGTGGCTAATAGCCATTAATGGACTTAACTTCATTGTCCTTGTTGAACCTCATCAGATTTCTTTTGGCCCAATCCTCCCATTTATCTAGGTCACTCTGGATCCTATCCCTACCCTCCAGCATATCTACCTCTCTCTTCCCCCAGCTTAGTGTCATCCGCGAACTTGCTGAGGATGCAATCCATCCCATCATCCAGATCATTACTGAAGATGTTGAACAAAACCGGCCCCAGGACCGACCCCTTGATACCGTTTGCATTTCCTTAACTGTTAATTTGGTTTTGGCATCATAGATCCACCAGATTAATAGGTTTGCATGCCTCATTCTGTAGAGCCTCAAATATTGATTCCTTTCTGCTTCTACTCACTGTTCAGAACTCTGCAAGTTCTGTGTCTTAAATCTTTTGAGTCCCTTTTGCTGGCAAGATCTGTAGGGATGTAACTCCAAGGCTGCTTGCCGAAATCATTCTCCTGGTATCTTTGCACATTAAACTCATTTAAACTATTCTGACTATAAAAAGAAGCCCAGACTATTCCAAATTCTTGGGAATCACAAAGCAACATTACAGACCTTTAACTCACTCTGAGTGGACAGAACAAATGCTGCTACAGTAAAAAGAAAATAAAAAAAGACTCTCTCTCTACATTAACACAGCGAAAATTGAAAAACAGGGTTGGTGAGGGTCTGAGTCTACTTTTAGTTTGTAGATTCCTTTCAAAAACAGATAAAATTAGGGTGTCACTTATGGGCAGCACTTCCCTATCCAGCCAAGTTCAGGTGGGAAAATGCCAGGAGTTCTCCAAAAGCAGAACCCTTGTGATGGAGTAGTCATGCAGCATGCCTTGTGAATTCTCACCAATGTGGAGCAGTTAATAATAGTTGGGGCCACACCTCCCCAATGAATCGTAGGATTGCATTTGCCTTTTTCATGGTGGCTCAGTCATCATGTGATTCATTAATACAACCAAGTCTTTCTCCTCTGTTGTTTCAAACTGATGAGACCCCATCTTACAGCAGAGATTCTTGTTCATTAGTCCTGAAGGATCACATTTTCAAAGGCACCTAAAGATGCAGATAGGTGCTTTTGAAAATCACAGTGGTTGCCTGTCATTGATTTCAATGGGAGTTAGACACCTAAGCTACTTACGCACTTTCAAAAATCCCATTAGGCGCCTATCTGCATCTCTCGGTGCCTAAATACCTTTGAAAATTTGGCCCTAAGTGCATGACCTTGCACTTTGGATTATATTTCATCCCATTTCTATTACTCCAGTCCTTAAGGTCATCCAATCTTCCTATATCATATTCTGCTCATCCTCTGTGTTGATGCTTTCTAACTTTGTGAGCCAATGCCGAGGCAAAAAGAGGGGAATCTATAAGCAATTGGGAACGTGAAACACAATTTCAAGTACAATGCTTGGAGCTGTGGTTGTTGGACATAAAGTGTCTCAACAATTAACTGCTCTAAAGTGCTTGCTGGACTCCGGAGTCTCAGAATGTAAATGCTACAAAGTGAAGCACTGCAGAGTCCACAGCAAATTAAGTATCTTTATAAAAGAGGCATTGTAGTCTATTTGGTTGACCACTGGACTAGGATATTGGGAGAGACGGGTTTTAGCCTTGGCTCTGTCACTAACTGTGTGACCTTGTGCATGTCACTTGTGACATGGGTTTCAGAAGTGCTGAGCATTTCAGCTCCAATTGAAGTCATCTCTGCAGATTAGGCTTAAACTCTTTGTTAGTCTCTCCTCTTCTGTGAAATGGTACACGTAAAAACCATCTTTCCACATCAGTTTATTGTAAGGATTAATTAATGTTTGCAATGTGCCTTGCAGAAGACTATTCACATTTTCAGTATTAGTACTACTGACTGTGTCAGGAAAAGGGCAAGAGTCAGAGGGAATCATTTGGTTTTGATAGAATCTGGAAGTGGTCTAGATTTAGAAAGCGGGTTCTTTAAAGATATAAATCAAGAGAAACACCTACATAAACCTGAGTGGGGGGAGAAGGGAAACAAGATGAGAAAACCAGGAAGGACTTCCTGAATGGATTCTGAGTAATGAAAGGTTACTTACCAGTAACTGTTTAAATATATTGTGTCTGCAGATCAACAATGCAGGAGTCTTAGAACCCTTTCAAAGGAGTAAACTCTTGAGGACATATGTGAATGCTCCTTGAATCCACAACTCTGGAAGGGAGGGTATGAAAGCCCCCCATCTCCTCCTCCTTCTCTTTCTCCAATTCCAGAAACATCTTTTTAATCTCTGAAGAAGTAGGAAGAGGGAAGGCCTAAGGCTCTGAAGACTGTGCTGGTATTTAGGTCCTGACTACTGCAGTAAAGGTAACCTGCTATTTCAGATCCATGGAGAGGCCCTATTACCCTAGGACACTCTGGAATCAGAGTAGGCCACATGTGTTGGGACATGACTGAAATTGATCCTCGGTTCTCAATCCTTACTAGATTTGAAAGGACAGTATCTTGCAAGGAAATCTCCCTATGCCGTCGGTTCCTCTTTGTTCTCTAAGAGGAGTTGCACAGGAGTTGAAGGATTTAGAGCCCCTCACAGACCTGACATCCACTCAGAAGAGAGAGATCAGAGGACACTGGATCTGAAGAAATGAAAGTCCTTGAACCTGTATGTCTTAGATTATTCTCTTACTTAAGAGTCAGAGTTTATGGCTAAAAGGGATGACCAGATCATCTTGTTTGACCTTCCGTATATCACAGACCACTAAACACCACTTAGCCACCTTCATATCAAGCCCGACACCCAAACTTTAAAGTCTCGCAGACCTGAAACACCTTAAGCAGAAGATCTCTGCTGAGGTCTAGCAGCTCCTAAATCCTTCTCTATAAAGGAGCTCTTGCATTTGTGGCGCCTCTCTCATACAGACTGTCATCCAAGCATTTTCCATATTGAGGATGCTGGTCCAACCCAGATAACTCTGTGGGGTATAAGAATCACCTCTTAAACAACATCATCTTCTCCATAGCATATGAGTCCTTTGTGGGCAAAATCCTAACCGCTAGAGAAAGAATAGTTCAACAATTATACTAACAACTATCCAGTGAATACGGCCTGGACCGGGAGTCGAGATCTGGGTTTCATTCTCAATTCTGTCACTAAGTTGCTGAGTGAACTTGGTTGAGGCACAAAAGTATTTAAAGATCTACAGAAGAAAAGAGCTATATAAATTCAAACTATTACTTTTTCTTTTAGGTGAGGAAGAACCCATGTAAATATAACACTCACACCACACAGAGAAAGGGATGGGTTCTGTGATCACACCTGAAGATAGGGATGATTTGGAGAACTGGGCAACTTTTAATTTTCAGGATTCTAGAACAAAGCATCAGAAAGAGCAAGCAATGACTCAGAATACAGGGCATTGTGGATCTGCAGAGAACGCTGTGAAGGGCAAACATTATTACAAACTGCTCCAAGTAAATACATCTTTATTCAATTTCTTTCCCTCTGTTTATTCAGTCATTAAACTTCTAGAAAATACTCACTGAAGTAGAGCATATACCTGTTTCACCGCCATTAACGTCCCAGTTCCTACATCTTGAGCTTGATAACAGGATGAAAATGCTCCAAGGCCTATTTGCTGACCTTTGAGCCATTCCGCATCTTCTCTGTAATGGTGTTTTGCTTTGGTATGTCCAGGCAGTGTTTCCGGTGTCTGCAAATTGAATTAAGAATTAAGATTAACTAGCTAAAATCTTTAAGTGCCTATATGAAAACTACGACTTTTAAAGTTAATTAGGGACAACAGTCTGATCCTCTGTCAATCAATGCATTTTCCTAAATCACCCTTAAGCTTGAGATCACTAAACCAGACAGCATGGGATTACTAATGCCAAACATGGGAATGGCCCTTGTTTAGGAATAGAATCTCTCCACTACAAAGAGAAAACATATTCTTTAGTATTCAGAAAACTAGTCAGCTTATACAGAGATGGTAGCTGACTATAACACTACAAATTGCAAGAACCCACTTCCAGTAAGTGTCTTTTTGAAAAGTAAATTAAACTATCTATTTTTAAATGTTAATTTGTTTTCAAACCAATTCTGTGTTTAATAAAATGCATCTTAAATTTAGACACAAGCTGAGAGAAAGGGCCTGAAATACTCAAATTCATACACTACTCTTCCCTCATTATTATTATATAGCACTTAGAAGCCCCATTTGAGATTGGATGCCATTATGCGAGGTGCCATAGCAACACATAGTAAGAGTCCCTGCCCCAAAGACCTTACAATCTAAACATACAAGACAGAGTAGGAGGGAAAACAGGGGCACAGAAAGTGGAAGTGATCTTTCCCTCTATATTTTATCTCAATTTGACCTCATCTGCTCTCAAAGTTTCAATTAACTTGATGAGACCTAAATCTACCTCTCTACCCTAACCTCTGCTCATTTTGTATTTCTGACATCTTATATTGGATGTGTCACCAACTCCCATTCAACATGGCAAAAACTGAAGTGTGTATTCTTTTCCTCACAACCTCCCAACCCTTTTGTCCCCCCCAACAATTCAACTATCCTTTCCACTATGGCTTCCAAACTGTGTAAAACGCCTCTTTTCCCTTCCATAAATAGGCTCTCATCAAATCACACCAGCTCTTCCTCTAAAAGATCTATAAAAATATGCTTTTCCCCTCCATTCCTGTTTCTAAAGCTCTTATCTATTGCTTGAGTAATGAATGTATTCTTCTCTATTCTGGCCTCCGTGTATCTCACCTAGCTCCTCTCCCCACATATACTGCTGTTAAAATTCTTTTTCACTCCTGCTGCCTGCTTGTGTCACTGAGTTCCCCCCCTCAACTTCTGCATCAAGTTCAACCTCATTGTCAAACACCTGGCACAACTCTGTTCCTCCTTAAATCCAAGTTCTCACTTCTGCTTACTCCACCTTTCTTTCCCTTTGTTCTCCTCTAATTGCTTTGTACCCTTCTCCCATTCTTGTCTTCAAACTTTCTTCTGTCACCTCATGCCTGGAAATCTCCTTGGTGCAGCAGATTGTGTCTTTCCTCCAAAAAATATTATCAAAGCATTTCAACAATGACCTCCACAAGATTCTATCAGTACTTCAAACTCACACTGGCAGCTGCTTGTCTGTATCTGTATTTGATTCGAATTCCTAGGAACTGTGTCCTCCTTATGTCTGTGCACTGTTGAGAACACACTACATGTTCATTAAATAATGGCAGTGAACTGAAACATGGCCTTATTACAGAACTAAAAAACAACCCCCCTCCTCCCCCCAAAAACCCCACCCAACCACAGTATACTCACATCCTGCTGAATAATTATGATATCTTCCCCATTTTCAACCTGTAGTTGGGGAACTATTGGTAGGGCATCTTGAGACGCTGACATTGCCATGGCAATAGCTAAAGCCTCCTCTTCTTCGGCTTCCATCTTTTCCTTGCATTTTTGATTATGATTTACATCATCTTTGTAAGTGTCATCGTTTTCCACCCGTTCAGGAGAAAGAACTGCAACTTCCGACTTGAATGTAACCGTGCCATCGCTTGTAGGCATAGAGGCCTCAAGTAAGTCCTCAATACTGGAATTGAGCTCTGCATTGACATCCAGTTGAGTACTCTTCTCCTCTACTGGTGTGAACACGGTCTCTTCACTTGGTATAACTGCATTACTACAACTGCTACTGCTGTCACACTGTAAAATATCATTCAGATCAAGTGTCATATTGGTTTTTGAGGCTTCACCTGGAGTAGGTCGAGATGGCTTTGGCCTGTGTATATGACTGGATGGCATAGCTCTGGCCTGGGTAAAAACTGGGGAAAGTTTCTCTGGTTCTTTATTTTCAGAACAGTTTCTTTCAATGTGTAGAGAAAGTTTCCGTTGTGTTTGAGGAGAAGTTGAAGGTATTTTGCAGGGAATGAATCCCTGAGGTCTGACTTTAGACATATCTGTTACAGGGCCAACTGGTACAGACGGGGTTGAGGGAGAGGGCAGTATTGGGAATAATGACTGGGAATGACTGGATGAGGGAGAAAAGTTCAAACACTGACTATGGGGTCTGCCTTTTGTTTGAATGGCTGGCTTTGGTTGCTCAGTGGTTACTGATGAAACAGGAAGTCCTAAAGAAATGCCAGCCAGTGTCTCAGAAATGTCTTCTGGACCGGCACTCAATTTTTTATCACCCAATCCTCTTCCACTTTTCCCTGATAACTGGACAGTATTGTTAGGAGTATTACTTTGTGTTGTTTCTGGAGAGTTATCTGGGGCAGATAGCTGCATAAAGTCATCACATCTGCATTCCACAGAATGCACCTCTTCCATGCCTAGCTGGATGGCTTCTGCAATCTCCATTTCATCTGCTATTGCCAACAATCGTCGACGCATCCTTGTGTAATGAGTTGAGCTTGTCACACTCAACATTTCTAATAGTTTTACGAACACATGGGGTACTCTTGCAACCATTCTTGCAGCACTCAAAAATACCCTCCGGGACAATTTACCCACCATTGAGTGGGAATTATCAATTGACTGCAAGGCAAAATTCAAGAGGGACAGCAGCTTCTTATACCTAAAAATAAATAAATAAATAATATTATATATGTGTGTGTGTGCACGTATTTTTATATATATTATAAAATATAAATAATACTGTTAAAGCTCATATGTACTAATTACTATTCTAGAAGCAATCTACGCAATACATATCAACAATAGATCAGTACATTGACAGCTAATATATTAATTATCGTATGAGTGTTTAAGTATATGTTTTCAGTAGGAAAGGCAAATTTTCAAAGCTGGCAACTAGCTGTCTAAATTGTGCATCCAAAAGTCAACCCTTTGCCTCGGATAACTTAGGCAGCCATTTTTGAAGACCTGGCCAACAATTCAGTTACAGAGAAGAAGAAATGAAATAGTTAAGAAATACCTGTCTACTACAGTGTCAGCCTGTAAAACATCCCCACTGACAATGTGAGGATAAAATTCACCAGGAAATTCCAATAAAAGTCTGTCTATAAGACAAAGACGTCCAAGTAGGGCTTGCCAGTTGTTCGATTCAGTCTGGGTTCCAAGAATACAATTTAAGATGTAATCAACACCACCAATACCAATGGACCCTATGAAAAAATAGTTTATAAGATCAGAGTTAAACCTATGCCCAACCAAGAGTCTATGAAATTCTGATAGATCAAATCCTAGCTTATTGAAAGGTAAAGACAGCATGGTTATAAAGTACATAGAAACAGAACTTTTTTGTCAGAAAATTGAATAAAAAGTAGAAAATTCTCAAAGCAACACAGTTCCCTTTACAATACTGACTTTTGATACATTCTTCAATATAGTTAAAATGATTCATGATATTTGCTTACAGACAAAACGTGACGATAATTGCATATGTATAATAAAGCGGTTTTACCAGATTTAAGTATTTCTCTACCAACTGCCAACTCTCCTGCTTGGCCTTTACACATCTCCAACAGCGTTGAAACTGAAAGTTGGCTTGTGCGGCTATGGGAAATGAAAACCAAAAGTAAATCCCACATCTTATATTTTTAATTAACAACATTTTCACCATTAACATTTCTGGAATTGATATATCAATAGACTGGAGATTGTTTGATTTTCTTCATTAATGAGTTATGATGAACAAATTATTCTGACTGATTTCACATCATTTTCTCCCTTTATATCTTAAAAATGTTTTGGCATTGTTCACCTAGAATCATGCACTGCCTAAAAATCTACTGTAAAAATCTAATACACCCATTCTCTTGCCTACATCATTAAAATATAACAGTTTCTGAATTTTTATGTCTTCTGGAGAGAATCCTTTTAGTATAGAAAAAACCATCTGATGATACAACCTCGCCCACCTACATGAGTGGCCAAATCTTGGAATACAACACTACTCTGTTTAAAAAAAAAAAAAAAGTAAATGAATGCTTATTTCACCTGATGTCATTCCTTTACATTTTTCAGATCAACACTTACTTTGTAACTGGACCAATAAAAGATTACAATTCCAAAAGACATCTCTATTAATATGCAATTATAAGTGCCATATACTAATAACATAATGAAGCAGATATGTATGGTGTTTTGTCACAATGGCCAATCGTGTGTGTGTGTGTGTGTGTGTGTGTGTAAATACCTATGGCTTGATATTATAGAATCATAGGACTGGAAGGGACCTTGAGAGGTCATTATGGAACTTTTACTTTCTAGTATATACAAAGGTGGAGAATTGAGCCTGAACCATTATATCAGTATGTGTTATTTTTAGGGCCGTTGATTAATCGCAGTTAACTCAAAAAAATTAACTGTGGTTAAAAAAATTAATCAATAGAATACCAATTGAAATTTATTAAATATTTGGGATGTTTTTCTACATTTTTCAAATATATTGATTTCTATTACAACACAGAATACAAAGTGTACAGTGCTCACTTTATATTATTTTTGATAATTTTTACAGTGCAAATATGTGTAATCAAAAGAAACAGTATTTTTCAATTCACCTCATACAAGTACTGTAGTGCAATCTTGATCGTGAAAGTGTAACTTACAAATGTAGATTTTTGTTACATAACTGCACTCAAAAACAAAACAATGTAAAACTTCAGACCCTACACGTCCACTCGGTCCTACTTCTTGTTCAGCCAATTTCTCAGACAAACAAGTTTGTTTACATCCACAGGAGATACTGCTGCCCGCTTCTTATTTACAATGTCACCTGAAAGTGAGAACAGGTGTTCGCATGGCACTTTTGTAGCTGGCGTTGCAAGATATTTACGAGCCAGATATGCTAAACATTCGTATGCCCCTTCATGGTTCAGCCACCATACCGGAGGACATGCTTCCATGCTGATGTTTGTTAAAAAAATAGTGCGTTAATTAAATCTGTGACCTAACTCCTTGGGGGAGAACTGTATGTCCCCTGCTCTGTTTTACCCATATTCTGCCATATATTTCATGTTATAGCAGTCTCGGATGATGACCCAGCACATGTTTGTTTTACGAACACTGTACTGTCACTGCAGATTTGACAAAATGCAAAGAAGCTATCAATATGAAATTTCTAACAATAGCTACAGCACTCAACCCAAGATTTAAGAATCTGAAGTGCCGTCCAAAATCTGAAAGGGACGAGGAGTGGAGCATGCTTTCAGAAGTCTTAAAAGAGCAACACTCAGATGCGGAAACTACAGAACCCGAACCACCAAAAAAGAAAACCAGCCTTCTGCTGGTGGCATCTGACTCAGATGATGAAAATGAACATGCATCGGTCCACTCTGCTTTGAATTGTTTTCGAGCAGAACCTGTCATCAGTATGGACGCATATCCTCTGGAATGGTGGTTGAAGCATGAAGGGACATGAGAATATTTAGCACATCTGGCACATAAATATCTTGCGACGCTGGTTACAACAGTCCCATGCCTACGCCTGTTCTCACTTTCAGGTGACATTGTAAACAAGAAGCGGGCAGCATTATCTCTTGCAAATGTAACCAAAATTTGTTTGTCTGAGCAATTGGCTGAAGTAGGACTGAGTGGACTTGAAGGCTCTAAAGTTTTACATTGTTCTATTTTTGAATTCAAATTTTTTTTGGTACATAATTCAACATTTCTAAGTTCAACTTTCATGATAAAGAGATTGCATTACAGTACTTATATTAGGTGAACTGAAAATACTATTTTTCTTTTTTTACAGTACAAATATTTGTAATAAAAAATAAATATAAAGTGAGCACTGTACACTTTGTATTCTGTGTTGTAACTGAAATCAATATATTTGAAAATGTAGAAAAAAATCCAAAAATATATAAATAAATTGTATTCTATTATTAACAGTGCGATTAATCGTGCATTTAATTTTTAATCATGCAATTATCGTAATTAATTTTTTTAATCGCTTGACAGCCCTAGTTATTTTGTATTACAGCAAGAATCAGTTCCCAACTTTACTATCCACTGTACAAACAAATAAAACAGTCCATGCTCCAGAGGCCACAATCTAGAATTATTACAATACTGAGTCCTGAAAGAATGGTATATAGTACTACAGAGGAGTAAACAGAGAGGAATAATACTAGAGGAATATTAAGAACCAGACTAATAAAAGAGACTCAATGGGAATACCAAGCACTAGGTCAGGGCAATACAAGATAACCAAGAGTATAAAGAAGGATGGTGAGAACATACACCCAAAATTTCAAGTCAACATTTGTTGAGAAAGAAAAGATAGGCCCCATAAAGTCAATAAAAAGAACGCTGCATTCACTAAGTATTGCACATACTGAAAAAATATTATGAGGTGCCTCCAAAACACACCTAGAACTGTGTCACGGTAATTTGAATACTACAAAATAATTTCTCCAAAGACTTCCAGAACCTATACAACATATATTTATAGCCCTACTTGTGATCCACACCTCTTAATCTATAGCCACCAAGAGTCTGCATACTCTCTGCTTCTACATGAAATAAAAGTTCTGAATGTAGTTTTAAAAGATTATAGAAAACTTGAAGACCTATTGAACCAACCACCATACCTGTTGGCATCTGCACATTTAACTAATATAGTCTCTACAACTGGCTTGAGAAGTCGCTGTAGTTTTGTCCTTTCTGCCAAACTATGACAAGGAGTATAAACCAGCATGGCTCTTAATGTTTTCTAAGAAAGGGAAAAAAAGAAATATGAAGTCAGGTCAACTACACTTCAGCTTATTATAAAAACATTTATAAGTAGGTTTATATAACGCACATGAAACAGAGTGCTTATTAGTGTGACAAAGGGTTAATACCTTACTATCGTATATACTTAGTGTTAGAATTACTCAATCTGAAATCTGGTTGTATGAACATTGTAAGTATGATCAACACTCTAGCTCACTGTACCAGGCATCTGAATATATTTGGCCAGATCCTCAGCTGGTGAAGTCAGTGAAGCCAGGCCAATTTACATCTGCTGAAGATCTCATCTATTCCCTTCTCAGACAATGCTTAAGAGCTAAATAGGGTCTGACTTTCAGCTGTGATGAGCACTCACAATTCCCACTTACTTTTCTGGGAGTTGAGTGTGCCAATTAGTTCTAAAAATCAGTCTCCAAGCTACTTCACAAAAATATTAAAATATGGTAAGTAAACAACTACTTACTAAAGCAGCAACATACACTTTGTAGACAGGGTCAGCACAGACCATGGACAGCACACTGCAGCAGGATTCCACTACAACATCTCCTGAGATACCGGTCTGAGATGATCCACTAGCTGCTCCCAGAGCTCCAGCACTTGTGTTGTTTCCATTGCTGCTTCCAGAATTTCCAGTGCTTTCACCATTAGCCAGTAATAGAGCACCACTAACATCATGGGAAAGACGTCTAAGTGCCATCTCCCGTATATTCCAGTTTCGAGAAAACAAGCAGCCAACTAACTCCATTCCAAATACCTAATAAAAGTAAACATATTCCATTTGATTTGGTTGCAAAACATAACGTTTCAAGCTTAAGTATTTAAGTACAGTATTTCAGGAAATGTCAAAAAAGGTTTAAAGGGAAAATCTTGTCTTAATCTTTTATGACAGAAAATATACCAGCAGTATCAGTTTTAAATATGCAGCCTGTCATATAAAATGAAATACTATGAATGGTAATGCATAGATCCTTCAAAGACTTAGCTATATTTTTGAAAATAATTATCTTCCTCCATTACATTTTTTTAAAATTCATTATAATTCTGAAGCCAATTACAAACCGCTAGTGAGCTTTACAGGGAGTAGTTCCCTTTGCTTCCTTCCTGTATTAAGTGGGAAAATCCTTTCCGCATGAAAAGTCAGATTGGTAGTTCTGCTGACAAAGACCCTCTATCCACAGAATAGGTACAGACAGGGGGGACACTGGTAGTTTCCACACACAGCCTTCCTAAAGTTATCCATGTTCAGCTAGTCCCCTCTTTAGAGGTAAGAGAGTAGTTCATCTTCCATGGCATTCAGTACTTGGCATCTCAGTTATGGCTACCAACAAGAGTGTCTATTAGTGCTAATTATGTTTGTGATGTGACACCTGTCCACTAGGAATTAGGACCAAAAACACCAACTCTTTTTCACTGAAGAGGGTTGTGATATTCTCCAACCTGAAAAATCCCAAAGGAAAAAACAAGTTTGGGGGTGGAAAAAGTTTCTGGATTTTTTTTTTTTTTTTTTAAAAACACAATCAACCAACTATGAAGCCGATGTGGTTCAGAATAATTTGTGGAGTACCATAATGTGCTTTAGATTGTGTCAGGAACTCCAAACACTCATATATTTCTAATTTATAAATGAGTTCACTTCAGAATTTTTTCATCTTTTTCATACTGTTTTCATTGCATGAGCATAAGACCTCTGTCATACTTCTCTTAATATTCTTGGGTAGCCTACTTAGTAACTTGAACACAATACTCTGTGGTATTCTTTCAGGCAGACTCAACAGAATTATGCAGGAACTCACTTTTTGCTGTATGGATGTTTGTAGCTATTATCAGGTGATTTCTCATATTATATTTTAAAAATGAGCAAGCAGGAGGCGCATAACAAAATGGAGCTTTGAAAGAATTTGGAACAGGGAGAACAAAGCTCCGCTGTTGAGCTTGCATTAAAATCAAAAGGGGGTAATACATTTCCAAAGCATCTGCTTGCTGGCCCATATGCACAATGACAGTGGCTTCTTTGGAGGAAGAAACAAGACCTGGGACAAGTGGTTTTGCACAGGCAGCTACTGGGATGACCTTACCTTAAAAACAAAACAAAACAAAACAAAAAAAACACACCAGGGAAAATCCCACCTCAAAATGACAAATTGTTTTAATTTGAAATTCACTTCGTAAGTTAAAACCGTTACCTGAATCCATGGCTCAGCTAAATCTTTATAGGTGGAAGGGATCTGCTGAACCCCATAATGAGTAAGGTTAAAATTACTATCTTGTGTTCTCCTTTGCGATCCACCTGTAGGCTGCTGCTGATTTTGCTGTTGAACCACTCGGAGAACTGAAGGAGAATCCACAGGGCTTGGCAATTCATGACTACAAATAAACAATAAATATTTAATATGGATGAAAAAATTAAACATTTACACACTTTAAAGCTCTATAGTTTAACTACAGATCCAAAAATGTGAGATTCAATCTGTACAGAAAACTGAATACTTACCTATAGAAATCATGAGATCTCCACTTAGATCTACAAAGAGGGCATATAAGTGGCTCTCTGTTTCTTCTACATTCTTCTGCCCCTGAAATGCAGTAATCACAAAATAACATGATGCCTAAAGCATATTATAGACTTATGGGAGTGTAAAAACAAATGTATGGTTATAAAAATCAACAAATTAAATAGTAAATTTTACTTTAAATTAGAATATATCCTTTTCCTGATAAGGTAAATGTAGTTCTGAATTCAGCTGTCTACAGCATATTGTATGGTTTACAAGACAATCGAGGCATATTGGACCAACTTCTGTTGATGAAAGAGACAAGCTTTCAAGCTTACACAGAGCTCTTCCTCAGGTCTGGGAATGGTACTCAGTGTCACAGCTAAATATAAGGTGGAACAGATTGTTAAGCATAAGGAGTTAATGTATGTTGCAAAAGACCATTCAAGATGAAGTGAGCAGTTAACACTCATTTGTCCTATGACTGCAGTGGTGTTAAGTGGCTTACAGATTGTTGTAATAAGCCATAAACCTAGACAGTGTATCATTAGACAATTACAACCCATACTCATGAGGATCACATCCTGAAGGAAATCTTACCAGAGCCCCAACTTCTGCCTGCAAACAACCCTCCAACCTTGCCGAAGTCATAATCAGAAGCAAGCTCCCCACATACCAGAACACATCAACTCAACAATACCTGATCCAGCCATAACAGATGCAAAACCTGCAGCCATATCTCCCCTGCTCCGATGAGCAGTTACCCCACCCCCAATACACCTACATATGCTTATCACAACACACGGTTACCTCATCCTGTGCACTACATGCTCCGACCATCACTATATGTGGGTGAAACCAGACAATCACCATGCTCCTAAATGAACTCGCACAGAAAAGTGATAAAAGACAAAAACACCCTATCAGTCATGGTCAAAAACTTTTCACAAAACCATCACCCTGTATCTGACCTCTCGACCCTCGTCCTCAAAGGAAGCTCCTTCAAAAGACAAGCCTGGGAACTAAAATTCATAACTTGAAATCATGGACTCAACAAAGACACTGGATTTATGGCTCATTATAACAATCTGTAACCCACTAAGTCTCCTTTGTCCTACAACTGTAGAGGTATTAGCTGCCCACTTCACCTTAAATGGTCTCTTGCAACATGTTAACTCTTTATGCTTAACAAATTTGTTCCACCTTATATTTAGCTGTGACACTGACCATTCCCAGACCTGAAAAAGTACTCTAAGATTAAAAGCTTGTCTCTTTCACCAACAGAAGTTGGTCCAATAAAAGATATTATCTCACCCATCTTGTCTCTCTAATATCCCAGGACCAATACGGCTACAACTACACTATAAATTTTAACCACACTTTATTTGTGCTGCTTCTCCTAAGGCAACATTGTTCATTTACATTAATCACGATATTCCACATTAATATCCACTAGTTGATAGAGTTTCAGTAAGTTCTCCACAAGCAACACAATGAAATATAGAGCTTCACATTCATCTTTCAGGTCTGTACACTTTTAATATAAAGCTTGTTTCATTAACTTGCATTTCAAAGAATGGGTATCATGCTATACTACAGTTTGTTTATGTATTTAAAGTCACCAGTAATAAATGTAAATAAAACAATGACATACAAATTGACATGCAGTGATGATGTAACTTATTCCTGCAGCCATCTTCACACACAGTCAGGCTCTCTTCATCCAGCATGCCTAACAAACAAATGGGGCACATCTGTTCTTCTTCATCCTTCATACTATAAAAAACCCCAGACATTAGCAATATGAAAAATTGCACAGATCAGAAGCTAATGTAGGTATTAAGTCAAATATTGATTAATGATCAATGCTAGTTGTCATAATACTCTATAACCAGCATATCACATTTAAAACAGTTAAGACCAAGAGTTAGGAGCCTCAGTGAGTGGCGTGATTTTCAGAAGTGCTGAGCACTCAGCAGCTTCTGTTGCAATCAATGGGATCTGCATGGCATTCGGCACTCAGGAAAATCAGGCCACACAGGTAAAAAATGACTTAGGAGTATAACTTTAGGGAAAGACACAATTTTGAAAATCTTGTCCTAAAGAAATCTACTTTGCTGTTTACTCAATATTTATGATTGGAATGATTAAGGAATTATTAGTAACTTATACATTGAAACAAAACATATTTCTTCTTTGTTACACTTCATCCACAACTCAAGACATTTGTTCAAAAGTTGCTCTTTAGACCATCACAGCAGGTCTTGAATACTATTTGATGAACATGTGTAAAATTCAAAAAGCAAATGTAAAATAAATATAGCTGCTCTATATTTTTGCTGCAAGCAGGTGTAAATATTTATAGCATTCTCGTATGCAACAATATACTAATCAGAACTATTTTATTCAGATCAAAACACCAAATTTTTATCAGCTAAATTTTAGATGTACTTTCATTTTGTTTTCTACCATTAAACAATTACCTTAATTTCAAACTAATAATCTGAGACTACAGAGAGTTTATGACTGTATTTAAATTACACTGACAACGTATAATAAAATAGCTGAAATTTACCCATCATAACACATTTTTGCAAACGGGCACAAAGATATATTTTAATTATAATCATTATAAGACAGAAATGGAAAGAACGTGCTTGCAACAAAATGGAACGGTGTGATGTCGGCTTGCGTTCGTGGAGGGACGGACAAGGACAAGCCAGACAAAGGTGATTAAAAGACATCTTACCAGTTATGCCATTGTATACACCTACATAACTTGAAAAAAACAACCTACGTTTGTCTGGCAACAGTGAATTAAGTTATGACTGTAGAACTGTATATATTTATGTTTTATTTCTGCATTCATTGTGCCTTACACAATCACTTTTATTTTCTAAAAAGTTTTTAAATAATTGAGATTTTTTGCAGATCTGAAAAATCCACATCAGTAAATTTATAGTGAAAATGTTCAATTCTACAGTATCCTAAAAATACAAATTTCAGTGTGGTCATAACTGTATTATACTTTTTACTTTCAAGAATTATTAGTAAACCATGAATTTAAATGAAGTACAACAGAAACATCAAGATTGTGTAAACTTATCTCTAATGAAATGGAAATAAAGTAATACAGTGACTGTTATATATATGATAACATGCCAAAATGGCTTCACTATAAAACGATTGCAATACATTTTGCTATATCAACAGCTGCGTGGGTTTTCTTCAGGTGTACCCTAATAATGCAACAATGTAATGTAATAAATCAGAAAGTTATCTAAGTTATTACTATAACAAATCTTCCCAGACATATATCTAACTAAAGGAATTAATCTGTCAGAAGAATAATTTCAGGGAAACAATTGTAGGCATTTAACAGGTCTGTATGTGTTTATACATAAATATGTATTTACAATGGAACAGTCTGACAGTTAGAAAAATACATAAACACAAGGCAACAGGAAACCATGTTCATGATCTAAAAGCCCAAACTGAAAACACGCCAAAATATATTAATTTTGCCAGATGGACACTGTAGTCTAAAGTAATGTACCAAGATTATTTATTAACATAAGGTTCCATTTTATGCTAAGGTAAGAAAGTGTCATTTTTGGTTTTCTTCTAAGCATCCTCAGAGGAGCATTCACGTTAGTTTATTCAACCAATGTATATAAATTCACAGAAAACATTTAAAAAAAATTAAGAACATAAGACTAATAAAATGAATGTTATTCATTTTAGCCCCTAACAAATTTACAAGATCCGTTAAGCAAAAACAATGAAGTAAAAATAAAAATTTGAAACAGTTTTTCAAAGAATCATTAACTTTACTAAGCTTAAGTACTGGAAACATCATAAATATGCTTCTAATATGGTATGTGCCAGAATGAGACAGACTGAAGAAGAAAATAAAAAAATCCTTTTAAAATAATTTAGTTACTCAATGTATATATGTGGTTCAAAAGTGAAGTGTGTGTGTGTGTGTGTGTAAATTCACACACACACACACACACACACACACACAGAGTATACTTACTTGGCACTTGCAAGCATATGACTGTTGCTTCTAAGTGATATAGTTTGCTTTCAAAATTATTTGCACAGGAAAAAATGAGATATTTCTACATTTGTGAATATTTGCATGCATGCTGCATATGAACACATGCACACACACAAACACGTCAGTTTTGGGAGCTAATGTGTACTCCAGTCTTAAAAATGATTGCATACTTTTTTTAAAATTTTCACTTTGAACAAGGAACAAAGGAATAGACTCTCTGCAAAACATCAATATCTAACACATTTTTCAAACAGGTCTTGTAAATTCAATATGCCTGTGTTGGTATCAAGATGACCGATGTAAACTTGATTGATTTTTTTTTTTTTTATTCACAATTTTTTTTTTTCTTAAAATTGAATTTGCTTTAAATAGATTAAAATAAAATGTAAGTGTATCTAAACCTCCAAAATTGGGGGGAAGGACAGTGGGGGGAGAATGCTATAGAACAAAGCTTTTTAATTCCTTTAGAAAAATACTAACCTGTTTTCTGAACTAGATGTAGAAGTACTAGATGATGACAATGTATGAGAATTTGACATGCGTGAGACAAACTTCTGGATGGTGTTACGAGATGGAGCTTTGATCCTTGAGCTACGCCTACTGTGATATTTCTGGAACAAACTCTCAACCTAACATTGGGAAAAGATAGTAACAGTAGTATTTATGCTATAAATACCTCACACATAAAAAGATGTTCTTGAGATTTCAATACTAATAATGAAATATATTTATCTATATGTTTATAACACATTATTATTATTAAATTGTAATTGCAGCTGCAACAGCAGGGATTTCACTACGGTCTTGAGAATAAAATGGTTTGCAAGGAACAAACTAATTTACATAAAAATCATCAGGTCCATTTTTCTTTACTTTGTACAAAGATTGTGTGGCAGAAACGTGCTCAGCTTAATAATTTACTATTGAGACAACAGATAAATGATACACTACAGATGCTGATGAAAATATAAATTTAAATTAAGTGGAAAAGAAAGTTTTATAGCATATTCACTGAACCAAAGATTTCTACTTTTCAGTTGCTCCTTTTATTGCAAAAATATTTTTCTAATATTTAGATAGTTTCAAAAACTAACACCCAGAAACACTGGCTAAATTAAAACTTGGTACAGTCTTCAGCCATTTTAAAAACATGCCCTAAAAATGCTGTAACTTTGTGTGTGTACTCACATCTTCTATTAAATACATCAGGAATTAATTACCTCAAAATTCTTCAAGGTCTTTCTCCAAAGCATTGGGTCTGAGGGTTCTAACTGGAACACTCGAAGCATGACAAACAGCAAATGAATACAAAACGTTCCACGCCCGCAACTGCATGTCTACAAAGAAACATATAGCAGGTTTAGGGCCCTACTGTGGCTTGATACTTACACATGTGCACATTCTTCATTTAAGCACCTACACTGTCTAGTACTTTGCCCAGACAGTGAAAATACAAGACCATGAATGGATGTAGAGTGAAATTAAACTTCTAAAATGTGACTAATGCTTCTGTTCTTCGTCAAGAAAGAAAGAAAGAAAGAAAGAAATGGGAAACAGCAAATTATGCTACTTTTCTCCTGACATTTTTCCCCTCAGAGGCTGTAGTTACCATTCATATCAAAGGACCTTATGCACCTGATCCTCATATCACCAAGTATGAGGGCAATCAAGAAATTTTCTTCTGCCATTTATAGGCCTTTGCACCCTGTTCCAAGAACACACAAGTCTAGTTGTTCCCTACTGAATAGTCATACCATCATTAGGAGGGCCTATTTGGAGAAGATCCCATAGCAGGTATTAATACTACTATGAGACTGTTCAGAGAGCTTTCATATGCATTTGTTCTACATTTACCAGTAAACAGTGTGTATATATATCCAGGAAGTGTAGACCATAAGACATAGCTATAAGAAATTAAAAGTGCCTCCTTGTAGTGGAAGATGGAGCAAAACACAAAGTGGCAAAATTTCAGCCAAAATACTAGTTAGAAATGAATATCACATCCACTGAGGGAGTGTAAAATGGGTGAAAAATAAATGTGAAACACTAAATTTGCACATTATCAATGATTCCTCAGCTAAATTAAATGGATTTTTAAAAGAAAAGTGTTTGCTACAGACAACCTAATGTTTGAAATATAATTGGCACATACTCATCATATGTACACAATTCACCTTTTAAATGCTATTTCATAGGATAGCTAAATATCTAACTTTGGTTTATAAATTTATAACTTCATCTAACTTGGTTCTATACAATTTCCAAACTCTGTAAATAAAAAATATTGTAGGCATGCTAGGTGATTCCTACCTGAGGCCCAATGAACACCCTATACTTGTTATCAGGGCTGTCTCCTCCAATTAAGAAAGAATTAGGTCCTATCTGCTGCAACAGGTACAATCTGGCTCGCATAACTTTGTTGACACGACGATTTGTTTCCTCAGGGCTATATGGTGAGAAGCCATCTGGAGATGGAGCTCTCCGAGGTGGTGTTATTCTCCCACTTTGAAACTGCAACGAAATTGTTTCCAATATCAACTATTTCTCTCTTCACTAAGAAATTCTTACACAAGACTATTATTTGTTTGTTAAGCGACAACAATAAGCTCAACAATGCTCTCAGCACTGACCAGAACGCAAAATGAGAAAAAGTCTCTACCTTAAAGGGACTACAAGGATTATCAAGGTGCATTTATTTTCTTCCATGCTCAAATCCAGCAGACATCAGATGCAGCAAACATATGAAGTTTTAAACAAGCTTGTTGAAATATTAACAGAGGAAGTAAAAATCCAGTAGCTGGCTTTTATTTTTCTTGAAATTTTTGTTCATTGATTTTATTGCACTATTTTACCTGAGTAATTAGAATTGAGAGACCATTATGGACTTGTGAAGGGCAACACTGGTTCTGTGAGATGAAATTTCTTCATTTATAAAGTATATTAGCACTTTTAAATTCTTGCCATTGAAGAATAAGGGAGTTTAAAAGAAATTTTCAAAGGAAGATATCAGATAAAAGATGAAATGCCTTTCTCTTGTCTTAACTATGCAAACAGATTTCTCACTTAGGCCTCTATATTTTTTATTCTAAAAGAAATGACCCAACCTAGTATCAAAGTGCATTTGTCTTCACTTGAATTTCTCTAACATATTAAGATTTTTTTAATACTTTTTCTGATGTTAAACTTAATATTGCCACTGAATGGTTGGAATTTCAAATAGTGAAGTAGAAGATTGTAAGTGAACTATTCTTGTTAGTCATTAATTCTAACATGGACTAAACCAGGGGTTCTCAATCTTTTTCTTGCTGAGGCCCCCCTTAACATGCTATAAAAATGCCAGGGCCCAGTGGGGGCAGGAAGGGGGAAGTCGGGGCTCTGGGCCAGAGGGGACACCCTTGAGCATAGGCATAGTTTGACTTCTATTTGGGGGAGCAAGGACTAGTGAGGCATGAGCCAGCTCCACACAGTGGGGTCCAGGGAGGGAGCGCAACCTCCACCCCAACTCACTCAGGAGGCCACCAAGCCTGTCTGGGCTGTGTGGGGACACAACCAAAAAAATATAAACTCTAAGGGGGGACTCAGCTCAAAAAGTTTGAAAACTGCTCAGGGAGGGGATAGCTAGGGGCTGTGTGAAATGAGGGGTGTAGTGCAGGGGGTAGGATGACCAGACACCCAAGTGTGAAAAATCAGGACAGTGGGTGGGGGGTAATAGGAGCCTATATAAGAAAAAGACCCCAAAATCGGGACTATCCCTATAAAATCGGGACATCTGGTCACCCTAGCAGGGGGAGATAGCTAGGGGCTGTGTGCAGGCAGGGGAATAGCTCAGGGTCAAGCAGGCGGTAGCTAGGCAGGCAGGGGAGTAGCTCAGCCTCAGGGTGCAGGCAGGGGGTTGTTAGGGGCTGTGTTGAGGGGGCTCCCAGTGCGGCTCACAGCTTCAGTGGGCAGTGACTGGAGCTCCCAACTTCAGTGCTGGGGCTCGGGGCACTGGGTTTCAGTTGCAGGGCTCTGTGGCCCCCCCTGAAAGGGCTCATGGACCCCCAGGAACCACTGGACTAAACTTTACTTTTAAATTAACTTTATTTCCAGTGACAAAAAATTACGAAAACTCATTCAGTGGAAAAAAGTCCATTAGCTACAAATGGAGGAAAGGCAAAATTGATTTTCTTAATTGTAATCTTGGTCTCTCCTAGCATGGTGCCACTGTTCCCAACGGAAGTTACAACTCATGGCATTTCTGACCAATCAGTAGAAAGGAAGCAGAGCGCTCTTCTTGGAAACTGAAAGTCTACAGCAGTAGATCTATCACGGGAGAAAGAAAAGTAAACTGCACGCATTCTACCTCGTGCTCGGATATATATTGCTGTTTTCTGTAGCAACCCCATGTGCTTCGGCCAAGATTTTCAGAAGTGAAAACCTACAGTCAGACTTCTTAATAAGTCAGGCCACTTATTTAGGAGCCTAAATTGGGATCCAGGAGCTTAACTTAAGGTATAGTTGCTCTTTTGCCAAGTGGTAGCAGATGTCCAGGGGCCCGTGTAGGTTGGCTTCCCAGTGACAGAGAAATCAGTGAAATGGAATCTAAGTATTCTATACTTATTCTAAGTAAAGCTTGTTTTATTTGTACACATACACCAGTTCTGGAACAGAGGTGTTCACAAACAGCATGTAGGCAATTGCTTCTTTTAGAAATCTCAACCCAAAAACCAAGACCTGGTTCCCAGGGAGCACCTCTGCTTCAAGAATTGACTCCACTCAAAGATCCAGGAAGGGAGCAAACTCTGCCACCAGAACTTTACATAAGCAAACTAACACCTAGCATGTGTCTTTCCAACACTGGATATTTTCTCATGTGCTAAGAAAAAGATCTTGGAAGACTATGGGTAACAGTACCATCTGGTGACACCTGCCATAACAGATTCTATTTTTGAAAATCTTGATCCAGGTTTATTTGCTACAAAAACAACAGATCAAATCAAGCACGGAATCGCATCCTTCATATTTAGTTTCCTAACAATGAATGTAATATTTATTACGCATACCACACGTTTCATTATCCTAAGTAAAATCACAAGTGGGAAACCCCTTTGAACATGCATCTTCTCTCCAAAACCAGTAGTTAGAGATAGCCTTTGTTTACAATTCAGAAGTACCAAATTTTGACATGTGTATAGCAATACCCCCTCTTCCATAAATGGTGACATCTCAAAATAAAGTCAAAACGATAATTATATTACATTTTCCAACTTACAGGCACTGGAGATACCCTTTTTCTTCTAACACCTGGTGATTCTGATTTAACAGTTCTAGAGGATGAGGATGAGGAGCTACTAGGAGAAGGGCTACGTCTTCCTTTCTGAGTTGCAGAAGCATTGCTTTGCCCTTCAACTTGAGGTTCTATTGATAGTTTGTTGCTTTCAGAGCCATCACCTTTCACTGGGATTGGTTTTACCACCTTGTAGGAAATAAGTCACATAGTTTGTGATTAGTAAAATGATCATCTTCTAAATAAAGCAACAGAACACACTAACTTGAAGTCTGTTTTGGAAACATATGTACAATGTTTATATTTATTTGTTTCACATCTGATATATTCCCTTTATACTGAAATTATTAGCTATTCCCCAATTATTTTAGTGATCAGTGTTTGAGAGTCACATTGGCATTTCAAATATGTGTGTATTATTAGATTAATTCCCATTCTGTTTTTCTTAGCAATCACATGTCCAAAATTAACATTCATTCATGTCTATAATGTTAACAGTTTCTGCATGACTTATTTGCCACCTTTGGTTCTTCCAGGTTATAGCTGAAACTATTTATTAAGCAATCTGAAGTCAAGAAGAAGTGGCCAAGTTCTTTATTGTAAATAATTATGCTTTTGATCTTACTCTTTTGCATGCATCTTTCAATGTTATTAAGACAAAACCAATCACAAGCCATCTTGCAGAAGAAGAGCAAAATGAACTCCTTGCATTTTGGTTTACGTCAAGAATTTATCATGGAAAATGTTTTTTTCTGGTGATAATCACCTGTGCTAGACAAATGGGGGATTAATACATCAGAGTTTTAAGAATGTGAATTTTTTTAAAATTAGAAACAGAATTTTTGGGGGGTTTTGACTGAGAAAAGGAAGAGAAAATGGTTTAAAGTTTTATTCTGTAAACAAAGCTACTTTGGATGTCAACAGAGGGCAGTGTTGTCACAATAATATTTTTAAGCAAAACAATATCAGCTGAGCTATTTGACTTTCTAAGTATCAAACACATTACAGATCTGTAAACTATACAGAATTAGCAACAATTCTTCAAACAGCCAATAAAGTGAACAAAGGGACCATAACTAAGCGTCAGCAATCATAACTAAGATACAGGGTAGTGGGGTTTTAAGAACAAATATTTATTAAGCCGTCTTGGCACTTTTCACAATTGTAAATAATCAGTAAAAAAAAATTCAAATTATTATTACCCTTTCTTGAACACTACTTACCACAGGGCCTCTCCTGCTTCTCCTTTCCAGCCATTCATGCTTCCAGGCTGGCATACATGTTGCCTTGAGTTTCTCCCTGATCATGCGCTCTTCTGGGCGGTCATCCATTTTCTGCAACCCCCTGAGGGTTTCTTTATTCTCCATGTCACGACTAAAATAAAGAAAAAAAGAAAAAAAATCATAAATGTGATTGTCTTTAATTAAAATTAGAGACATAACACGGTGGTATTCTTAAACCTTGTACCATCATAAATTTCTCTCTCTCTCCTTACAATATAATTACCAAAACATTAATTCCAACTGGCTGGAGCAAGCCACTTAAGCGTTACTGTGAACAATTTGCTACCCTGCTATTTGGAGCATAACTGCTTTGAGGCATATTTACTTGAAATGTGTACTAGTCTGGGTATTAGACATCCAATAAGAAAGGCTTCTTTATGAAATACTAATTTGAACCAAAACAAAAACCCCACATCAACCAATCCCCCGCCTCCAGAACCTCCCATAAAAAGCTCAGAAGTTTAAGGTTGCTCATACACCTATAGACACATGAAGGCTTGCAGTGTCTCATGTATTTTAAGACAATTTATAACATGAATAGTGTAGAAGATTTAGAAAGAGGAAGGTATAGTATAAAAATATGTCATGCCACAAGTCATTTGTGCAAAGAAAAGCTTAGTGAAAGCACTTAACACTTAATTTGTTTAAATTAGAAAGGGAAGTCATAAAAGTAAGGATTAGTTAAGAGCTGCTTTCTGGACTACTTTTGACTCAAAAGCATTCCCAGTCAGCTATCATCATAACAAAATATGTAGTCTGCTAATATCACTAAAATGAATGCTTATATGATTTTGACCTACAGCAAAATAGTTGTCTGTGTTTACAGGCAACAAAAATACTCAAATACTTAAGTACACATGAGAACAGTCAGAAGGATTAACTGATTCTATTGAGCTATCTGCTAAATCACCAAGAAAACCACATTCCTAGCCACAACACATGATCCCTTACCATGTTCTAGAAGTTAGTTCATTTAAAAGAAAATAAATTGTATTTTTTCAAAAAGCAAATCTATCACCTAAACCCAATCAGACTGTCAATCTGAATGGATGCTTATCAAAAATATTTTAAAAAATCAAATTAATGTGGAAAAAATAGGGCTTTTAATAATTTGTCTACACAGAACAACTAATTTGCATATTTGACGTTGTTTCATATATACACACAATCCCATCTTAACTTTCTGAAATGTTTATCTTAGTTATGCAGATAGAACTTCACTACTATACATTGTCTTCTATGAGTTTTTTGTAAGTAGTATTACTATTAGACAATCTGCAATATATAAATTATCTTTCCTGTGATAAAAATAAATTTAAAATGTCTCTTCTGTGCAACAATCCATATCTAACGGTGAAAGAGATTGTAAAGAATGGAAAAAAAATACTTTGATCAAATGTTTTTGTTGGCCCAAAACAGCATTGATTAATGTTACAAGAAATTTTTTCTCTCATTGTAGAGACAAAGGAAACAAACTATCTAGAGACAGGAAATATCTTTTTCCTGTTCAGTGCAGAACTGCCATACACAGATGGATACCAGAAAACAAAATATTTTCTTTTCTTTCAAGCAACATCCTCTAAACATACTGCTAATATGAGTTTGATTTTAGGTGTTTTATTGAAAGTGGCCGATTAATCCTAAATTTCTAAATACAATAAAAATTCCATCCAAATAAGTAAGCCATTTTAAACGCTGAAAAAGTCAGGCCCAATCTGAGTCATCAAAGAGATCAAATATATATTTAAACAAACCCAAAATTGGGATAGTCATATCTCTGCTGCATGAAAAAAGTGTCTGACTCCTAATATAAACAACAACAAATTCTTCAATATCGTGAAAGACAGAATATTATTTGTGTTTCTGTAGTAGTCAGAGTTCCAATCAAGAATGAGGCTCCACTGGGCTGAGGGCTACACAAGAATATACAAAATCACTCCCTAGCTTATATAGGGCCTTATTTATATTTCTTCCTTATTCAGCCAAAGCACCCCAGACAACTATGGGAGCTTTACCTGAATAAGAACTGGGCCCATATAATGGTACAGCCACAAAAATCTAGGTGAGAATTTGCCTTAGATATTTTAAAATTACTTAAACATCTAAAATATACTGTAGCTGTAATTTCTGTAATTTCATGATACTAGCCATTTCAAATGCATGAATACTTTTGTATACAAGACAGAAAAACTATGCAAGCAATAAGAGAATGAAGCATACTATTTCATCTGTTCACATAACCATGATTAATTTCCCAACTGATATAAAAAAGTCTTAGTGGCCCTTGAACTTGAATTCATGAACAATGTAATACAACACTGAAGGCTTCACAATCTGTACTTGTTCTCTAAAAAGCAGAAGCAACTATCTGGTTCTCTCATGTGACAGTAAAAGCAATATATTCTTACTTACAAAGAACTCTTGTTTTTAAATGTAGGTGGGATAGACCAGCTGAGTCTGAAAGTGTTCTCTCTAGTAATCTAAGATAAGTTCTGCAATAGGGTATTCTGCAATTAAGTATCATATATTACCCCAGAACACTGTTTTGGAAAAAAAAGTTTTTATGTCACTGAACTCAAATATAGTTTTAAGTGAAGTGCATTATTAAGAATTCTTGTACTGAGCATTTAAGACAATCCCCTCCGACAATGTGTGCATGGAATATCCTTGTATCTTGCAACGTATTTTATAAACTGAGTTTATCCACAGTTGGGCCTGATCTTCATAACTAAGGCAAGACTCCCACTGACTAAAATGGGCAATGGCAATTCTGAGTCATGTTAGCAGGATTGGTTCCTATTGTACTCCATTTTAAAATCCTCAGAACAATAAAAATAGCTTTTGATGGATTTTGTGGACTGCACCACTCCAACAAATCATCAAGCGCCTGATCTTGCAAGGTGCTGAAGACTAACTCTGATCCAGAAAAGTTTTTAGGCACAAACTCAACTTTTAAGCATGGCAGTACTCCCAACTGAAGATTAACACTAAGCATGTGCTTAAGTGCTTTGCTAGAGCAAATGGAGAGCACCTGGCTGAATTTTAACATTAGATCTCTGCGAATAAAACTACTGCAATATTGCTAGCGGAATATAATAATCAGTAATTTTGTGTGCATGTACGTACACACACACACACACACACACACACACACACACTTTCAGTTCACTTTTAACCAAATATACTTAGAAAAGCCACACTTTTGCCACAGGTCATTTTTAGGACCACTACATAAAAGTATTCATATAATAAAAGATACAAATACAAGCTTAGGCAGTTTATTAATATTTGGAAGTTCACATATAATTAGGAAGAATTATTTCTGATACACATTTTAAGACCAACTGCTACAATGACATGAACTACTACTGGACCTACTTCTTATATTAAGTGTTTGAGATTCAAATACCAGAATACATAAATCTTTTATAACTTAAAATTAAATACCAAATGTTCAAAAACAAAATGGAAATTAGTTTCCAGTTGCTGTTCCTGAATAACTTCACTACAACCACCTGAAGAATGTCAAATTATTAAATTATCCATCTATTCAATACACATTTTATAATCTGTCCTTGTAGCTCATTCTTTCCACTGCATCAGGTGGCCATGTATTCAAGTCACAAACTAGATTCAGATTTATACTTAATGCAGATGGCAGGAGCTCAGAAAGAAAAAAGGTTACATTCCTTTGTCTGAGGGGTTAAACAGATGTTCCCTATCTGCACATGCAGTTAGAAATTAGATAACATCTCAGCACTATAAAAGTACAGTGCTATGTAATTAAATTACATACAAAAGTCTACGTTAAAACAACATTAATTTAGGTTGCAAGGTCAAGCACTGGAAAAACATGAAATATCAGAATTAAGGTTGCCAGTGCAAACTGTATCATCTGAGCATTTCACAAACGCACAGATTGCATTTCAAATCAGAGAGTATTATCCTCATTTTACAGATGGGCTAATGGAGACAAAAAAACTTGCCTGAAGCCTCACAGTGAATTACTGGCAGAACCTCATGACTTTCAACATTGAGTTCATTCCTTCAGATCATGCTGCTTTACTGCCAAAGTGTTGAGCATCCACAGCTCCTACTCACTTCAGTTGTACTAGTGAGTGCTCAGTACTTCTGCAAATCAGACCCCAGGCATTCAAGCTGGGTACACTGAACTGAGGAACAGAAAATTAGTGGCCACCTGCCAAAATTTGTGTTTAAGTGACTTGCTCAGCATCACACAGGAAGTCTGTGGCAGATGCATGAATAGAACGGAGTTTTTCTGCCTTAAACACTAGAATATTTTCTCTTCCTGAAACACACTGCCTATCTCATTCTCTACACATTCTAGCGGGAAAGGAAGGATTCCTAAAAACAACAGCCACATTTAGTACACTGCCCTGATTCATTCCTTGAGCCCCATCCATCCTGTGCACTGAATGTGGCAGGAGTCCTTTGGAAAAATGGTATGTAATCACATAAAGTTACAATACATATACACAAGAGGGAAGAATTAGGGTTGCCTGGGCAGGCAACAGAGCTTTCAAGAGCCATGAGCTACAACCTAAATGATTTGCTTTTCACATTTTTTACATGTAATTTCCTAAATTTATTTTTAAAGGTAAAAATAAATTATATTATGCAATTGTAATAACCCCCCACATAATGCATCATCAGGCATTGAGAGACTAAGGGTAGGTCTATGCTGCAATTAAACTCCTGTGGCTGGCCCACATCATTTGACCTGGCTCGCAGGGCTCACGCTGCAGGGCTGTAAAATTTCAGCATAGACATCCAGGCTTGGGCTTGAGCCTGAGCTCTGGGACCCTGTGAGGGAGGAGGGTCCCAGAGCCTGGGCTTCAGCCCAAGTCCAAACACCTACGCTACAATTTTACAGCTCCGAAGATCCCTGCGAGCCCTAGTCAGCTGGGTGTTTAACTGCAGTGTAGACATACCCTAACTAAGTGACTTGTACTGGGTGTGTGGGCTGGACAGAACAAGCTTGACACTTCCCCCACCCAACTAAAAGTGCTCTGGCAGGAGCTGGTCTGCCTCTGCTCTCTGAAAACCCCAGGCAGCAGTGTGCTGCTGTTA